CCAGAAGGACATTTTAAGGCAAAGCCAAGCGCATAGCCGATAAGATTTACTGCTTACAAGTTCAATTAATTTGGAATAGATAAACGCTACACAATTTGGTGAGCGACCTACCGCACGCTTGGTTTGTACAGTGGCAGTGGAGCGGCGGCGGCGGCGGCGGCGGTGACGTTGACGTTAGTGTTTTGGTGGCGCGATCGGTTTTTAGATGACATTCACAGGATTTCGCATTCGAGATTCGAGCGACAAACCCAACACCGTATACAGCCTATGTATATACGGAACGTGTGCGTAACTCAAGTGGTTCAAGTGATCTGTGGCACTTGAAAGATGCTGCACGGAATATCTGGCGAGTTGAACGAAAAAGTCGATTTTGTGATTTTAGTTTCAATTTATTTCATTGCCTTTTCTTCATTTTTGTTTTGGCATTTTTCGAATATGATACCAAAGCGTTATTTGTGTGACAAATGAGACGAGGTAAAACAAACAAATCTGTTTACACTCGAATTGCGATTTATGGTCATTTCCAGTGCGCCATTCAGCCATTTGTCTGTCTGTTTAGCCGACTTGCTGTTGGGTTTTTGCTTTGAGTTAGTGTTGCATTTTACTTTGACATTTATTTTGTTTGTTTTAAGAGTTTGAAAAATCTCAACGGATATTTGTTTTTGCCGACAAACGCACACAAACAGTAGGAAGTCGGGGCAATAAATAATTTTCAATTTTGATTTTAGCAGATTTAAAAAAAACAAATGAGTTTTCCTCAAGTTGTTTTTTTCAGTGATTGCGATTGCCTGGGGCAGTCGGAAAAAATAATTTAGCTATAAAAAATAATAAATGATAAAAGTTTAAAACTTGAACCTTATGTATATCATTATTTCAAAATGCATAAATTATATTTCTTTGAGTCCCTTGTAAATCTTTGCTGACACCTTCACACATCCCCTTTGTTCTTTTTTTGTAGGCGTCTCAAAATTGCCGTTACTAATGATTTTAGCTGTCATTTTTTGAACGTCACGCCAACAGAAAGTTGAAGCTGTGTACGAAATCGAATTTCTTGCTTAGTCAATCATTAAAAAATTTAAATAGTACATACATACCTACATATGCACATACCTTGAAATGCATACATACAGATGCGTGCAACTAATTAGCAACGAAATTCAAAAAGTCAAACATTGGAGGGATCTTGCTTTATCTAACCACAATTTTATTTTTCTTTTATCGAGGATTAAAGTTTCCTCTTGGGAAAACCCTGCCCCTACATATTTCTTCTTCATCTTCTTGTTTGGAGTTCAAATCCAAATCCTTTCCCACTTGGTCTTTTCATCGCAGAGAAAGGCTTCTCTTGTTCTACTACCACCAGCGGCATCCGCGTTGAATACTTTCAGAGCTGGTACGTTTGTGTCCATTGGCCAAGCTAGCGAAGCCACTATATTCAATCCTCTTTTCTCAATTGCCTACTCAGCCAAAGTAGCACTTGTTGGCAAGAGTGATTTACCCCTTTCGATTTCAAGGCTTACGGGAGCAGCGCCATAAGTGTGCTTATAGATGAGTTCTTTGGACGCCTCGACCTTCTCTGACGTCACGTCGTGGACGCAAATGACCGACATGTTGAAGAATATCGATTTGACTCTCAAATCAAAGTCCTTTAATGGTTTGCCGAGGTCGTTAACAAACGAAGAGGATCTTATTCGCCGCAGTCTTTCTCTTTTCATTGGAGTTCGTTTTTCCCAGACGGGTGGCGAACTCAGCGCACAACCAGAAATTGTTTCTTATAATCAAATGTAAAAAATTCCATTCTAAGTTAGTTAGCAGAATTTATTGTAAATGCGTCTTTTTCTACTCTCATTTATCATTTGATGTTAGAAAATTTAAATGAAAGCAATGTTATATGTAGCCCCTTTATTAATGCCGTGTATTGGGTATACAACTTTTTTTTGTTAAATTTTCCATATCAAACCACGCCTACGTAGACCACATGCCATTGTAGAGTCGCTTCTCACGTACCTGTATGTATGTACTTGGCACTTATGTATTTCCCTTTTTTATAAGGAACCATTTAATTTTTTTTTTCTACATACATGTTTGTTTATGTTTCGCATTTTCTGTGCGTCTGTCTAATACAACCCGCCGCTTTCTTGTTTTTAATCGATGCGAGTTTGTAACAATCCCAACGGTTGTTCTGTTCGACAGTAGATGCTATTCACTACACAATTCGATATGATTAGATACTCACGTAATTGTTGCACATGGCGCACCTGCAACCAATGTGGTTTTTATGTCTGCGTTTCTTTCTTTTTTATTTGTAAACAATAAGAAAATTTAAACTCGGCAATGAAAATAGTAATTAATTTTCTCGAGGTTTTATGATTTTTTTTTTTCAAATCGTCTATAAAGCACCAATAGTGGCCGTGGCATCAGCCATTTTTGGTAAAATTTGTTTGCTTTTTAGCTTTGGATATTTAAGAAAAGAAGATGGTGGTTTCATTTCGGAAGGCAAGCGTCAGCTCATAGGATATAAAAGTAAAACTAGAACGATTTTACGCAGGTGTATCTCCTTCATTTCCCCTTTCGACTTTCAAAATACTAAACAGTAATAACTGGTCTTTAAATTTTAAGTTTCTTGTGAAGACAATTTCAATAGATCGAACGTTCTGTACTAACAAAATAAAATTTAATAAAAAGTCAATTTCGTTTTGTGCCCAGATTTCGTTCACATTTTTCCACTTTTCGTAAAAGTCAGTTATTTTCTTGATGTTTCGTCATGGAAGCTGCATTTTCCGCGGGGCAGACCAAAAGTCCTGTCCTTGCCTACCCTGGCATTGAAATCGCCCAGCACGTTTTGTTAAACCACAAAATAAAGGTTAGCCTATTCAATGCAGCTTCACGCCTATCAGATAAAGCCGCTACGTACCCTCTACATTCTTTTAACTAATATGCTGAAGGTGGTACCTAGAGAGCCGAGCGCATTTATCGCCGCCAGGCTATCCGAGAAAATACTAATGGTTATTCTGAGGCTAAAACTATTTTCAAAGTTGCCTTAGAAGCCAGAATGGAATGGCAGCCTACCAGTGGTAGCAGATAGTATATCCATCTACTTTGATGTTTTATAAGCAGATGGAGCAAGCAGTCTGTCAAACGACTGTAGCGTCTTCCAAGCTGATGTTTATGCTATAAAAAAGTCGGTAAGACTTCTACTAAGGCAATGTGCACTAAACTCAACATATCTGCAGTAAGAGTTCTTACCGGTGTCATCAGAGGACATTGTGCTATTGCATCGTTGCACCAACGATGGCGAATACCACCGAGTTCGCTCCGCGAAAACTACCACGAGAGAATATGGACGATAGAATTTACCACTTTTTGTATCGATGGCCAGACCTGAAGTGAAGGAAACTCAAAACAGCTGCGGTCACGCTTCTTTACCATTCTGGCAGATATAGCAGCCATTGAACTTTCAGACCTCCTCAGGTATTTTCCATGATTAGCTTTTATTTTCTCTAATACAGGAGAAGGTAAAGGTTCAATACCATTAACAATTTTTACCCAGATTTGAATCAGACTCTTCAATTATTTTCTTCTCAATTATCTCGCGCTTTTCGTTAGTCCAGAAAGTATTTCCTCTCCTTATTGTTGTACTTCTGGGTATGCAGTTACAGTTTCACTACTCTACTAAATACTGACTCTTGCGTCCCCGTTCGCGCACTGTGGGAAATGTGAGTAGCCCATGTGCGAGATGCGGTAACCAACTCGTGAGAAACCTCTGTTCACGGCCAGGGGCCATTCCGATTTATTCGGTTTAAAGGCTTACTAAAGTTAGCATGCATCTATTCAGCAGTGAGTTGTGCACTGGGTTGGGACCCGTAAGGTAAAAAATAGATCCCATGGAAAACCCAAAACCCCCTCGGCTAATTGCTCACTCGAAACAAGGACTACGCTTTACGGAAATGTGCCTGGAGTGTGCTCACTCTCTAAAGGAAAAGTGCTTGTTTACCTAGAGAAATACCCCGCTCACATCACCACCGTACTAGAAATACGATGGTCGGGCATGATTGCCATGAGACGGCGCAGAAATTTGGTGTGGGATTTGTAGTTGGGCGGAGTCCCCGACAGCTTTTATCCATAAGTGAACGAAAGCGCGACAACGGAGAAAGGGTCATCGAGATCCGCGCAGCACAGAGCTTGGTAGTCATAAACGACACGCGAAAGTTTTTGCAATCAACTTTGAATCCTGCTTAAACAGAGAACTTCTCATCGACCGGATAAACATACATAAATGAGCAGTGAGAATCGATCTCCCACTCTCATCGTAGCGCTGAGGTTGGCTACTATGTATCATCCATCCATAACTGGCTGGTATAACGAAAAGTGATGTGCAGCTGCTGCAGATAAATACGCATCTGTAAGCTTTAGGGACAGCTGCCCATCCCCTTCCTGGCTACGCCCTGCTCACTCAAAGTAGCTGACCCAAATCTTACAAAAATAAATATAATCCATTATTTCATCAATTTTGGTATAGCAAGCCTTAAAACCACAGCGCTATCACGTAGTGAGGCAAAAATTTAAATAATTTTTCAGAGATTTTGTCCGCTTTTTCCTTTAAAAGACTTTCATAAATATAAATTCGTAGGTTATGTAAGAAGTATGTATTTTTTTAATTTTTTTTTTAATTTTATTTATTTAGTTTATATTCAAATACTTTGTGCGATTATTTACAATTGCAATTGCATTAATTACTTCTTAAGATACAATCAATATTACACAGCGTAAGATTTAATGTCATCAAAAATAATTGAACTAAAAATAAATTAAATAAATTGTATGTGTATAAACATAGATCAATTAAATTACCTAATATCATTAAAGACAAATAGCTATACAATGAATTTTCCTTTAGAACACCTTTAGTTAAATAACTTTTTTTGTTGCTAATTGACTAAGTACGGTTGCCATGGGAAATACTATGTATGATTACAAAAAACTTAAAAAAGTGGCTACACAAACTTAATACTTTTAATTATTCAATTTCAAAATTAGTAAATTTTTACTTTTTCAACTGCACTCAACATAAAAATATGTTATGTAATTGACTTTTACTTATTGCAACATTTCACTGGTTCTTACATTTCTAACTATGGATGATTGCCGCTGCTTCTATGTATTGCTGCCCTTTGGAACATTTACCTCGGCACCAAATCAATGTAACTATTTGGACGCATCATTTGATGCGGTGAACCATAGAATGACTGATAGCTGCTGATATTATAAGCATTAGCCGCTGCTGAAGCCATCGCCGTGGGACTGCCAGCCGCAGCGGCTGATGCCTGACGCATATGACCGGTTACCTTCAGCTTATCATAGGGACTTGCATAGCTGCTGTGATAGTGCTGATGATGATAGATGGCACCAAAATTGCTATTCTCGCTAGCATATGGCTGCCCAATTGTCGAGTAAATATTTGCGGCCATCATTTGTGAGTGAGAAGGAGGCACATGCGACTGTGACACTGCCGTCGGCATCATTTGACTTTGTGCAGCGGCGCTGAGATTCATATTCAAGTGTGAGTGATGTGTGTGGGCGTGCGTATGGGGCGGCATTAGGCTAGCAGCATTTGTGCCACTACTATCGCCATTGTGTGCGGCCAGTGTGACATGGCTGTAGGGGCTGGGAATATTACCGCTGGCAGCGGCATTCGCGGTTGATGTGCCTGGCATAACTGTTGCTGTTGCTGTATGTTCAACTTTCGGTGAGATACTGTGGCTGTGGCTGTGGCTGTGGTGATGAGGATGAGGATGATGGCTATTGGTTGGAGGTATTAAACCGTTACTGGTCATATGACCAGTAATACTGCTGCTGCTGACGCCACTGGAAAGGCACTGTTGGTAGTTAAGCAACTCGGGTGATGTATTGGTGGTGTTTGTGGCGACTGGTGCGCTCGGTGAATCGGTTACTGGTTGAATCACATGTGCTGAGATCAATGCGTTCTGATGATTTTCCAATTCAGCTACTGCTGCGAAGAAGGGGAAATTGAGAAAAAAAAGAGAGGATAAAATTAATTATGAATCGCGTTAAATGCAAGCGTTGATGGATTTACGAAGAGCCGCTGAGTGTTTTACTCGAAAGGGGAATATACCCATTTTCTGTTTGGAAATACATACATACACATACATATTGATAAAGAAATACATATTTGTGACGAATATGTGAACAAGACCACATACATACATATGTATATGTAAGTAGGTATAAATCTCGCTTCGATATATCAACTCTACTAAACTCTTCGTAGGTCAGTTAAGCCAGTAGAGCAGGGAGTTGTGTTATTGCTGCATATGCCAAAAGAAAAAAAAAGAAACTTTTTCATATGATGTTGACCTAACCAAAGCTGGAGTTGTGCCCTAAGCTAGAAGCAGATAGTTGAATGGCCTTGTTCACCCTATCCTTAAAGGAGTCACTATTCAGATTTCTGCAGAAATGCAATGTATATGTAGGAGCACGTTGAACAACAGACCAAAGCCTTATCCACGTTCTGACAAAACGTGGGGTCTGACACAGGAATCCTATGGATTTACAACTCTATGAAGAGCTAGCGAGGACTGTCGGTCAGTAGCCTGTGAAGGCTTCTTACCAAACTTCAATGAATGATCGCCGTCTGCCGCTCACGAGCTTTTCCTACAACACTTGAGACTTTGATGGATTCAGAGATCTAGATCTAGAGTGGTGTTGGGCTGAGTGGTGGCTTACGCCCAATACTAAGCAGGCCCTTAAGGTGACTATCGAACTAGCCATTCGTGAGATAGAGCCAGAAGCCGTCACCGAGGTCTTGAAAAACTGGGTTAAGTGGATGCGGTACTGCGAATCATCGACACACAAAAAAAAAGCAGTGACCCACTGAATCCGAATCTAAGATCCGTTTGATAGGTTTTTTGACAGCCTTCTACAAATCTTAAGATCTTCAGATCCTCGATTGCGCCTATGGGAAAAGTTGTTAAGTTTGCTTTTTGTTCGACTCACCTAAATTTGCATCTTTGCTGGCTTTCAATTGTTGTTGTTGTTGTTGCTGCTGCTGGTGATGATGATGATGATGATGCTGTTGCGCGTTATGCTGCTTCATTCTAGCCTGACTTTCATGACTCATCTGAGACATACCCATCGAACCAGCGCTATAAAAAGTGAAGCAAAAATAATAATTATGAATGTACATTAAAAATACAAAATATCTTTAAAAAATAATAGAAAGAGCTTCAAATACTAAAGCAATTACGCTTTTGTGAAAGAATTTTTGGACGCAAATGTTTTTGTGCAAACATGCTTGCATACATACATAAGTATGTATGTAGGTACATTAGGGTACATCACCGAAAATAGTTACGGTTTTTCCACCGGAAGTATACAACTTATTATATTTGAAGACATCCGCCAAAATATTTCGGCAAAAAATTGTGATTTACGTGAGCTGGACCGATTTGAAAAAAAATGCCAAAAACCTCGATTATTTTGATTCCGTTGATACGATTTTGAAACATTTTTATGTAGACCTTTCCAAGCTTAAACTTTTCTATCATCTGAGGTGGTGTTATAGAAAAAAAAAGTTTTGAAACCTAATTTTATTTATGAAAAACTCCTATTTTGGAGGTATTTTCAAATTGGATCGGCTCACGTAAAGCTTAATATTTCGCCGAAATATTTTAGCGGCAGTCTTAGAATATATGTAATATATTTTATTTTCCCGATGAAAAATCAATACGGATTTTTTATGGAGAGTGATGCATCCTAATGAACATATTTATGTGTGCAAATCAATATTGTTTATATTAATTTTCGCGTACTTTTCCCACTTTAAATATTTTTATTCTGACTCAGTTGCTTGTTTTGTAAACAAAACCTTGTATACCCTAATAAAATATCAAAAAAAAAATCTATTTTCCCCCGAAAAATTAAAAGTAAATATTTTAAGATTATTTATTTAAATTGAAATAGCGCTTTTGTGTCTTTTCTATGTTTACTTCAGTGCCAAGTTGCCCAATTTTCGCCTCTTCAACTTCTCAACTTCTTCAACTTGTTTCATATCTGCCGCTATTTCATCTTTCACACTTTGCTCCAATCAATTCAAATTCTCGGTTTTGTTTATCTTTGTCCTCAGCAAAAGAAATTTAAATATCAAACCCTACGTTAAATGTATATTAGGGTGGTCCTTGAGTGTAAGAGGAAAATTTTTGCATCTGATTTGCTAAGCTTCAACCCCTACGTCGATGCTACGATAGTCGAAGATATCACATATAATTTTTGGTCCCCATTGAAGACGGTTAAGGCGTGTCGCACAGGGGTCAAAGTTCATACTAGCCTATGAAGACGTCTTAATCGACTCCAATGGGGACCAAAATTTATAAGTAATATCCTCGACTTTAGTCGTAGCGATTTTGGGTATTGAATGAAAAAAATATATATACTCTGACCCCTTTGCTGATATCGTTGACCGTGGTATTACAGATTGAGGGGGTGAGGCTGATAAAATCGTTCATTTGATTTTTTAAGGACCACCCTAATGTATATTCAAACATAAACTTGGCAAACAAATGCGATACGCGCATATTTTTTTATTTGATTGTTTTTTTTTTTTTTGAGTTATTGTTAATATCAGACTGTTTCTGCTACAAATCAGGAAAAAAGAAATGCAACGGAGGAAAGAGTTCAGCAATTCTCAGAATTACTTAGGATTTGTTTGCTGTATTTATAAAGGGAATATTAAAAAATATGATCAGCCTGATTTTTGAAAATGATTTGTTTGATTTAGGCAGCGAGCCGCCTTACGTTGTTCCACACGCCTTTCCACCCACCCACTGCTGCACACTGGCGCATACGAATAGTGTTAAAGAACATGTTGCACGATGCCCTTAGATGCTTATGCTGTTGTGTTGTTGTCGTAAGACACTTGCATGCCGTCGTCATTGTGTCTGACATTTCGTCGAGTTTTATTCTCGTTTCATAATTGGGTCAAGTTATCAACAAAAAAATATCATATCATAAACAATGTTTTATGGTAAGGAAATGATGTGCTTACATGTTCGTATGTACAAGTGTAAAACAGCATCAACGTAAAATAACTTAAGCATTTTATGTTGGGAAGCGAACTTCTTTTCTTTCTGTCGCTATGTTGACTCTTTGTTTTTTGATTTATATTTCATATTTTAACTTAAGTAGGTACTTACACATCATTAGTCCCATCATCACGAAAGCCTTTAGCAAAGGGATTACTAACAATTTTTAATTGTGTAACCTGAAATGGAGAGAAAAATAAACATCGGTCGCTAAATGTATCACCAAAACCTTTTTAATGATTAGATATAATTAGTTATTATTTATAGCTAGCTAAATGACGAAACCAGGGACCGTAGCGTTTATGATCTTTGCAATTAAAATCATAATTTAATGGTTGAAATTGGATTCATATTTTTCCGATTAAATTTAACCTTTATTTTTGGATCAATATTTTTTCAATAAATTTTTGGTTATTAATTTCGATTTTTATTTTTTCGGACATACATATAACCGCTATATCTAATTTTAATTTTTTTTTATAATAAGAGATTTAAATCGGTAATACAAACGCAGTCTCCATTTAAGCGGTTAAAAATTATCGCAATAAAAACACCACTATTCTTAATCAAAATATAAAAATAAAAAAAATATGATTTTGCAATGATCTAAAAATAAAAAAAATTATATGTAACGGTTATTTTTGTACCTAGATGTAACTTTGAATTTAGTTACAAAATGAAATAAGTTAATGTAAAAACAAATATTTTTAAAGCAAGGGTTCTAAATATGCACGAAAGCGGACCATAAGTACTGGCTTATCAAATATATCGACTCGTGCGCCACCTATCGGCAACATTTTTAGTAGAGTTATTTCCTTTCATGTAGTTAATACACGTTCTAAATATGAACCCAATCGGACTATAAATACGGGGTTTTTAAATATCTCGACTCCTGCGCCACCTATCGGCTTAACCCATTTTTCGTATGGCATTGTCATCGGGTTCTGAGTCAACTGAGAAGTTTCAAGTCTCTAGGACATCGGAAAGTTGGTCAAAAATGTATTGCAAGATTTGCCCCTAACAAACATACATACATACAGAGCAAGTTAAATAAAAGCTTGTAAAAAGGCTTTCTCTACTCATTCTACTCAAAGGAACACGACAACGTTTCGGTGCTGTAACATTATCGGTATCGTTTTATGTTCCGGAATATTCCAAAATACAGCATTCCCTTGCCTTTCCGGAAGCTTGATCACCCAAAAAGTTACTTAAAATTTATAATCAGCATTACCAGGTCCAAATTTCACTATGTCAGACCTACCTTCTTCTATCAGCTTGGAGCGCACGGTACATGAGATCAAATATTTTGGTGGACAAGTCGCCTTGGTACGCACAAACATGCCCACGGAATCGATAGTCCCGGGAATCACTTATGCTTGACCTTGTAACGAAGATTGCAGTGGCGCAGGAAGCAGAGGAGTACACAATAGGAGTCTCACCTAATTCTTTCTGCGCAAGATATTCTAGATACTAAGCGGAAATGGAAAACTCATGCCAAGCTGAAAGTAAATGGATTGTTGAAAGTTTGCGGACAGTGTCGAGGATCCTTTAGTGAAATTTGGGGTCTAAAATCGGACAGGTTTCTTTGACATACATAGCTTTAGTCAGCACGATCGTCAAGTATACTGCTGTAGTATTATAGTGTAAAGCCATGGTCAGAGCCACGATTTATATGTTAGCGAAGTTAAAAAATATTGTGTGTATAGGTAGTAAGCAAGCCATGAGTATTAAGTCAGAAGCGGCTCTTAATGCTTTGTTGAATTAGTTACACCTGGATTGAGTGAATAAAAAATGACTACATTCTTTGCGATTGTGGTATCACGATCGGTTTTCGGGCAAAGGGAGTTGTTTAGAAAGTTGTCAGTAATAAATACCCTTCCCTTTTTTGGCCTTTAATTACAAACTGATATCAGCAATATCTTTCTTATAAGCAATGGAGAAGTCCAGCCGGCCTCATGGTTAACTCAGTTAAAACTTTCTATACGAGCGTCTCAAAAGCTAAAAACAGATTGCAGATGGGTTAGTTCCTCTAGCAATAATTAAGAGGCCTTATCGATTTCAGAATCCCTCTGATTAGTTTATTTTTTCTTTACCGGCGACTGATAACCATCATTCAGAACTCTCGAAAATTGGGTACAGAAGTCAACTTCTTCAGATATTAGAAGCGAAAGAAAACGAAAGAAATTCCCGTTAATAGGAAAACGTTTTCCTAAAGCAGTATTATAGCTTTCTATTTAAAAAGAAAACACACTTGAATTTATGATTATTTAAAAATTGGAGTTGATTAATTTGCGCATTGAACGGCGCATTGGAACTTATTTCTGGCATATCTTCTATGAATCAGATCTGTGATTTTACTTCCATGGACCAACAATTCCATGGTAGTAATTTCTAGACATACAATCCATGAAACTTATGTTATGGTTAAATGGAAGTTATGCCGAAACCCGCAATTAAAACGGAAATTGTCAGCTAGGTACACCGGGGATCTAATGAATAAAATTAGACCTTCATAACAAGCTTTTCAGGGGTTTTACGCTTTTAAGACTTTCAGAGTTCTATTCAGCTATAAAGTTGTATATACCGGTGCGAGCGCTGAAAGCTATAACGTGAAAAAGTTTGGTATGGAGTTCTAACTTAAGACTTATTAGAGTTAGTGAAACCAAGAGGGTGGTGGCGAGATTTCTTCTGCAGATCCCTATCTTCGCCAGATTGATATGCTAAATTTTTTGATGTTTTGAGGTTATTATTATTGTCTCACGCGAAGTTGACGTGAACTGGCCGCAAAAATCGTGCACTTTGACCCCTTTGAACTTTTTTAACCAAATCATTCTTAAACAAACCCGAGCTATCGCTTAAATTCGGTCTGATCTACGTATGTTTGTATGTATGCACATTATGGTGTATCACTCTCCATAAAAAAAGTCAGTACGTACTGTTTTTCTATTGGAATTTAATGTATTTTTAAGAGTTTCGCCAAAATATTTCGGGAAAAACTTACGTGAGCTGGACGGATTTGAAAATACCACCAAGAATATAGATTGATTTCGCTTATAAAATGTTGAAACATTTTTATGCAGACCTTTCAAGCTTAAATTATTCTTTCATTTCAAAAATATTTTTTAAAAACTAATTTTATTTATAAAGAGCTCGATTTTTGGAGGTCCAACTCACATAAATGTTAGAATTTTTCCGAAATATTTTGGCGAGAGTCTTTAAAATTTAAATACATATAATAAATTTTATAATTCCTATGAAAAAGCCGCAACTTTTTTTTGGGGAGACACCCTAATGTGCACTTATGCAAGACTTTTCAAAAATTGGAGTCTTCAGTTACTCTGCATCCAAACTGATGAATCCAATCAATTATTACACATATTTACTTATGTATGTATTTATGTGTGTATGTATTTACTATATGTACTTATTTATAATATTTTAGCCGAAAAGCGACTAAGCGCAAATGCATGAATGGTTAAAACACATGTCGCTGGAATTCGTTCAGTTAACATTGGATGTGTATTTGTATCGTCCAATTGTGCGTTCATATAAATACTCATAACTCATAAAAATAAATCTTAGGAAAAAATGAAGAGGAATTTGAGAAATTTGGATAATTTCGGACGTGGAATTTGATGAAAAACTTTCCATAGTCTCATAAACACACACTACAAATGTATGTATTTTTGGCTCTGCAATGAATATACGTATGTTCTCGTACATACATACCTAATGCATCATTTCCGTAAAAGAAAAAATGGACCTAAAGTAAATACTGCATATTTGATTAATGAATATTGTCCTTCCTATCATTTCCTCCAATTAAAGGGATTTATTTTAAAAAACTCAAATTGCGACTTACTCGTTGATTTTGATAAGCAGTGACGGCGGTAAATGATGTCTCCGGAAAGATAAATGTGCGAAAGTGACTCGAATGCTCCGTTTCGTCCAGCGAGTTATTTTTCGGTGGCAGGTAGACGATGTGAAAACGTGGCTGGTATCGATGCATGGAGTTTAAAATTATCTAAAAATTAAATATGTATGTATGTAAATGAATATTTTTTATGTAAAATTTTTATATCAAAATTTAATTTTAATTTTTTTTCGGTAGCAATGGATTTGTTTTTCTCATATTTGACCGTTCAGTTAAACCCTCTTTGCTTATATTAGGTCGTTATTTTAATAAATCAATTATTACGTTCATAATAAGCCCATGAGATTGAAATAAAATAAAAAACAAAACCGAAATTCGGTCATCAGGTGAAACCATACTTAGTATTAGCAAATGTTTTCGTACACGTTTTGAAGATAACCATTCTCAGTAATCAGTGAACATACCCACTTGTAGCTTCAAAAAAGGCGAAATACTGCCACTAAAAATCAATCGAAATTTTGTGTATCCTTCCGTGATGCTATTCTGGGAGAATAGTCGAATAGAAGGCCGCGGTAAATCTGGCTGTCGACGCACTGTGCAAACGCGAAAAGCCTGCGCAAGCAGAAAATTACAACATCCCGAGAAATGAATATCAACAAGGATTGCATGTCGTACATCTTAAAACGTGACTTATGTAGGACTCAACGAATATCAGAGACATACCGGGCACTTACTTTCAGAAGTGTTGAATCAAAAACATACATAAGTCAAAATCGAAAGCTTTGCTTCCAACAGTACGCGAAAAATTGTCACAAATGAATTATGTTTACAGGCGTGAAAATTCTCACTGTGGAAGAATCGTTCAATAAACATAACGATAGGGCGTATGCTTTGTCATCACGACATGCATCCGAACTCTTTCCCAGGGTTGAAAGTAGCCACTGCCCAGCTTCAACTTATTTCAATTTACTTATTTTATTTTAACTACAGAAGAAGCAAAAAATATATAAAATGAGTTTCAAAGAACAGGTAGGGTTGTTTTTTAAACTAACATTTTAAAATTTTTATTAACGGTGTATTTTAATACATCCTACCAAAATCTGTGAAAACAGCAGTTTCGAAAAAAAATGTTGGTTGGGACCTTTTTGAATTAAGGTAACGATATGATGGTTTCAAAAAGGCGAAATCATGTTTCGAACTTAATTTTTCACTCATCGATGAGACTATAAATTATAGTCCATTTTAGGAGATGGCTTGCACTACTCGACATTCAAGTGTGGCGCCTTTGAAGCGCGTCCTTGTCCGGCAGTGGATAAATTTCTCATTTCTGTAGCCCGTTTCTGTAACTCTTCTCTACCGATTGTTTCTCTACTGCTAGAGAATATACGTCATTCTCTACTACTCAATAGCAGTAGAGAACAGGGCGGCGAATTTATATCTCAATTCGCCTTGGTAGAGAATTGTTACAGAAACGAGCTACTGGGATATGTACTGCAATCGATGTGTGGTCAAGCCGAATTCGCCTTACGCCTTTCGCCTTATTAGGACTTACGTAAGCCAGACCGATTTGAAAATACCTCAAAAATCTTGTTATTTTGATTTCGTTCGTACAATTTTAAATTTTGTTTTAATATTATGAAAAACCAAAATAAAAATTTATCAAAAATCGATTTTTGGAGGTATCTTGAAATTGTGTCCAGATTCAGCAAATCTTAATGGTTTTGAGAGATATTTTTCGGCGGAAGTCCTAAAATAGATAAATTTTATAATTGTATCCAGATTCAGCAAATCTTAATGGTTTTGAGAGATATTTTTCGGCGGAAGTCCTAAAATAGATAAATTTTATAATTGTATCCAGATTCAGCAAATCTTAATGGTTTTGAGAGATATTTTTCGGCGGAAGTCCTAAAATAGATAAATTTTATAATTCCGATGGAAAAACAGTATCAATTTATTTTTATTCGAGAGCGATGATCCTACTGCTTATCATGTGGTTCTATCTTCAATTATATCCTTAATTTTAGCTAACATAGTCCAAGCTATTTCTTTAAATATTCTCAACCGCTCTCGAAATTCTTTACTGTCATACTTTGAGTTCGATATGTTTTGTTTCCCCGGACAATTATTATGTTTGCTACACCAGAATCAAGGAGAATTTATATAAGGTGGTGTTACTAGCTCAGCTGATTTTGTGTATGTGTTTCGCCGCACGGCTTCTGATATCAATTTGAAAAATTTTGTTTGAATTTGTACACACACTATTACAGATTTTGACAGTTTATGCCGCCAAAGCAAAAACAAAATACATGTAAATTTTTGTTTTTGTACTCCTGCTATCACCTTATATTAATTCGCCTTGACCAGAATATTCTGCATTCAAAACAATTCTACGAATTTTTATTTTTTTTATTTGTACTTCCATTTCAACGAGCAAACAAAACCAGCTGATTTTTACGCTCACTTGACTAGAGTTTAACTTGCGGAGATTGAGCAGTAACTAAATCTGTAGTTAACTCACTATAGTTAAATCGGAAATGAAGAGTTAACTGCCGGACATGAGTTATATTACCACTGTGAAAATAGGATTTAACGTTGCTAATTTATTCCAAAACTAAAAATGGAATTTAATAATTATTTTTTTTCCCAATTTAAAGATAATTTAAAAACAATCTGTGCGTGTGGAATTGAAAAAAAAAACCAAAACAAAAATCAATAAACCTCCTGGCTTTCAACACCTAAAGCGTACTTATGCAGACACAAAACAATCAAACAATTCTCATCGACTTCACCAATCTTTCTAAACGATTTTAATTTCTTCAGCATATTTTTAGATTTCCTTATTTTTCGCACATATTTCGGTTGTTTATTTGTTTTCACAAAATTGTACGCTAAATTCCATTTTTCTAAGTTTTTGTTTCTGCGCAAAAAACAAATGGCTGTCAGCCGTTAGACCTCATCGTTTAAATTCGTTTCAACATCTTACAACAAAGCGCATATAAATATTTCAAATCATCATAAGAAATGTTTACATATTAACACATGTATGAAGTTATACTTAACCACTTACATGTCCATTCTCATCCAGTTGATTATTGGTCAGTTTAAGTTTGTCAAATGAGATGATTCGTTTCATCCAATTCGCACCTGGTGCTGGTGAATCGGGGTGAACGTGTATGCGAGGCGGGGAAATGGGGTCCGCTTTGCCAGCGACCACCCAACTTGAGCTAAAATTCCAGAAATTAGAAAATAATTAGTATTAGTAAATAGAATACTTTATTATGCTGCAAATGTAAATTCGATCAATGTTTATCTACAAATCTCTCCACCACTCACTTGTGGAATGCATAGCGATAGCGTTTATCATCGACCGGCACAAAGTCCATCATCATTATGTAGGTCGCCTGCGGATCCAATCCACCGATCCGTACCTGAAATGTGGGAAACATGCGCCTGCCAGTCTTGGTGACAATCATTTCTGTGCCTTGCTCATGGAATTTATCCCACAAAGCTTTAGTTTCCAGCACAACCACTGCCTGCGCCAACGTCGGATGCATTGGTTCCTCCTGTTTGATTGATAAAAGTGAATTTAGCTCAAATTTTCTTCACAAAAAAACTGAAATTGCAACTCGCTCAACACTTACACTTTTACTGCCGCTGTTGTTGTTGCCATTTGTTGTATTTGCATCCTTTTTGTTGCTCTTATATTTTTTGCTTTGTGTTGTAATACTGTTGCTGCCATTATCATTGCTATAACTATTGTTATTATTGTTGTTGCTGTTGCTGTTGCTGGTGCTGTCTGAGCAAGTGCTTCCAATGTTGCTGCTGATGCTGTTGCCACCGCTGCTATTATTACTTTGCGTCTCAATGTCTGACATTTTGGCGTCGATGTGCTCGAGTGGCTTGTATGAAGTGCGATCTTTGCCCGCAGTCTGTATGCAGGCTGATTTGGGAAGACAAGATAGAATAATGGTATGAAACTTCTTCTATTCTATTTTAATTTAAACTACAATACGAATGAAAATTAATTAAAAATATTTCTGCCATAAAGAATAAATGAATATGGTGCTTAAATTTTTGCTAAGTGTTTGGCCGAACTTCTCCTCAAAATTGTGGCGTGCGTTCTGATGTTACAACGCACATGGGGGATCTACAATTTTACGCCGCCTCCGAATGAAAAATCGATTTTAGGCAGAAATACACTCGAAAGTTTGCTATTGATCCCGAGGGGTGACCGCTGTTAGAAAAAGCTTTTCGAATTTTCCCTTCTCTAGCTAGGCTTTTAATGTAGCCCAGCTCCTCTAAAAATGGACTGAGTAACAGAGCATCACATTCGCAGCGAACAAGGTGGTAGTCGAACGCGCATCCATTCGGCTACAGCGGCTCTTGAGGCAACGTAAAGAAAAGACATATCGTTAGCTTAGAAAGAAAAGTTGCTAAGTTCCAGTTTAAAAATTTTACAGGAGAGGAAAACATCTTCCTATAGCCATTTTCTGTAACTATTTCGCAAGACTTTGAATCAAACATTTTGCGCGTTTAAAGCAAAGCAAAACTCCATAAGAATCAGAAGGATTCGATATTTATTAAAAGATGTCGTATTATTTTGGCCTTATCGGATTTGTGGTGCTTCTTTTGGACTTAGCAAATTTTCCTTTTATTGCTTATGAAGAGGAAAAAATAAAACAAGTACCTTTATAATTTTCGAAACGATGCGTATTCAATTTCTTTAGCCTCCTATATCAAAATATGAAATAAAAAGTGGACTTAGCAACTTTTCACTCTAAGCTAGCGATATGTACTTACTTAAATTTCTTGTAAAGTTTTTTTTTGTTTTGCTTGTGGCTTCAAAACTACTCAGTTATTTATGATCCTCTTTACGCGTGATTTGCTGAGCCCCAAAAAAAAATCCGGACCGTAAAACACTGCGGTAGTTCCTTGTTTCCCTAGATTGTCCGCCTCCTCATTGCTATCATGTCCGTTATGTCGCGACACCCATCCCTAGTAAAACTGTGTTTTTGGCCACTCAATGCTCTAGAACACTGAAACAATCAGTTACATACTAGCTCAGGGGGTATTCTGTAGGACTTCAGCACGCCAATTGGAAATGCCAAGTGAAACCAAGTCCTTCTTCACTTGGTCTTTGCATCGCAGTGGGGGCCTCCCTCTTCCTCTGCTTCCATCAGCGGGTTCCGGACGACATGGCCAAGCCAGCGGAGCCGCGATATCTTAATTCGCTGCCAGTATGTCTATGTCGTTGTAAAGCACTTAGAGCTCATCATTCCATCGTCTACTGTACTCGCCGACGCCAACGCGTAAAGGCCCGTAAATCTTCCGCAAAATCTTTCTCTCGAAAACTCCATGAGCCGCCTCATCGAGTGTTGTCTTTGTCTAAGCTTTTACGCCATATAACAACATGGGCATGGTGAGTGACTTATAGAGCGTGATTTTTGTACGCCGAGAGAGGACTTTACTTCTGAGTTGCCTACTCAGTCCAAAGTAGAACTTATTGGCAAGAGTGATTCTGCGTTGGATTTCCATGCTGACATTGTTATCGGTGTTAATGCTGGTTCCCAGGTAAACGAAATTCTCGAAATTATAACTATCAACAGTGACGTGGGTGCCAAGACGCGAATGCGCTGATTGTTTGATACTTCGTCTTGTCCCTTTGACACCAGACCCATTCGCTTTGCTTCCTTGTCCAACTTGGAAAAAGCAGAACCGAATTCGAGGTTTTTGTTACCGATGATGCCGATGTCATCGGCATAAGCCAGCAATTTCACGCTCTTCTAAAAAATTGTTCCTGAGGGGTTCAGTTCTGCAGCTCTTATTATCTTTTCCCACATCAGATTAAAGAAATCACACGAGAGTGAGTCACCCTGTCTGAAACCACTGACGGATCTGGTGGTATTGCTCATCGTCATTTTACACAACCGTATCAGTTTCGCGGGGATAGCTTCAGACATCGTCATTATCAACTCCTCGCCGCCGTACTTGAATATCTCATCTTCCAGGCTGTCAGCTCCAGTAGATTTGTTGTTTTTCAAACGCCTTTTTCTCGGAACTTAATGAACAGAAAATGTGGTTCCACTGCTCGTTTATGTCGGTTTGTTGACGGGAGGTATGATAGTCGGATAGCGAATGCATTGGCCGTCTGTTGTGACTGCAGCTTTTCGACGTTAAGCTTTCCTTGCATTTTTGGGCGCACATGCGGGTGCGTATCTCGGCTGCAACATGAAACGGTATGTTACTCGTAATAACCCCTGACTATCAGAAGATTATCGCTTGGCGCATAACACCTCGTATACGCCAAATGCAATACCAGGTATGAATGGTAAATCACAGTGGAAACTGGTATTTAGTAAGTTCAGTTAGGTACCATCTCTAGTAAAATTTGTTACCAAGCGACGGTATATTGTTGCTCAATTGTTGTTTCCGACTCTATTATCTACGATTTTACAGTCTTCAAAGCAGCCTAGCATTTCCACTTGAATGATGCTTGCATCCTTTCTTGGACGTAGAGGAAGAACGTCACTGAGTTCGTCGGCGTAGGCTCGTGCTACTACAGCAGAGTACATCTTCTCCATTCTTTTCTGAACGTGAATCGTAATTGTACGTAACTGTTGAAGTCAAGATTGGCTTCTTAAGGGTATGTCGTCTTTCTTTTTTGCAATACGTTAATTAATAAATAATCCGTGTCGGAATTGTCTATTCTATTGTCTGGGAGGATTTTAGTGTACATACCGGTTATTCCTACAACTGAAGCTCTTTAACCCTAGAATACTAACCTTAAAAACACATATTCTTTTAATAAGGCTTGATTACGCGGCCACAGGTTTCAGATAAACTGAAATTGGTTAACTCTGTAGCTGATTTCTCCCCGTTTATATAGCTCTCGCTTACCGTATTCAGCTACGACGCTTTCAAAGAAAACCATGAGTGTAAATTTATTTAGAACAAGCCACCAAACCAGGTAGTTGCAAGATAAACTGATTTTTATACCTCGATAAATGAACGTATCTATATCTATAATTTATCTATAATTTTTATATGTGGCCCGAAGAATAAAGAGTACGATACAAACTTTGCATCTGGGTAGGAGTAAGAGAGATTTTGAAGTATTTAGCTCTGAACTACAGTCTATTCTAATTGTTCCTATGGTACTTAGAGACCTAGCGTTAATAATATTTCTGAGTGGAAAATGACGATTTCAATTTATAACGAAAAATTTGCAAATTAATTAATTTTCACCATATAACTCTCGAGTTCAAAGAACTTCCATATACATACCTACATATTCTTTCCTTCCTAATACATTACTTTTTCAAGGTTTTACAAAATAAGTAAAGTACAAGAAAGTTTTTCTTTCTTTTTATGTTTGACGGAAAAACAATTAGCCGTGCCAAGTGCTAATTGATTTTCGAATTCATTAATTTCCTCGTATTCTAAAACTAAAAAAAAAATTGTGAAATAAGACGCCAAGTAAAGGCGACAAACTGACTGCGATATTTTTATTTACAACCAACTGTTGTAGAATGGTCCAGATTTAGACATTAACTTGCAACAAAATTAAAAAAAAAAAAAACTAAAACAAGGGCGGCAGAGAAACGCATTCCGATGCCTTGTTCACGACAATTAATGGTTTGCCGACCTGCTAAGGTGGAGAGGTCGCCTTGTAAGACTTCCCTTCTTAGAGGCGTAAGAAAGTATTTATGCAGTTGTAGCGTTTGCTGTGAAAAGAATATCTGTTTTAAAATACAACTAAAACTTGCCACAAAGTAAGGAGGATGCACCCAACTTGTAAACAAAGATTTTATTTTTTTTCCAAAAAGCAAACATGCATGCAAATACTTAAACTTTCATAGTGTAGAAATGCATATACAGTCAGCGTCAAAAATGTGAATACCATGACGTTTTGACGATTTTCTTTATTAATATTTTCTATACCAATTTTTTTTTAATTTTTTTTTTTAAATGTAGTTCATTCAACAGAAAAGACAAACAGAACCAATTTTTTCAATTTCATATAGAACTGGGGAAAATTCAAGAAATACCACAAAATTTCATTAAAATTTTCAACTTTTCAAGTCCATTTCTTAGAAAATGCATGCACCAAATCTATTTTATTATTAAAAAAAATCTCAAAAATCAACGGTAATTTTTAGAGACTTGAAACTTACTTGCACGTTGTTATACTAAAATTTAATGGGCTACAAAACTGCATACCCAAAATTGAAAAGTTGAAAATTTTGATGCACATTTTTTGGTTTCTTGAAAAAATTGATTCTGCTGGTTTTTGCTGTTGCATAAACTATATTTTTATAAAACAAAACTAGCAAATATCTGGCGTGCTTCACTACGCGTTGTTTGATACCCGTATTGTAATATTTATTTTATTTTATCAATTTAATTAAATAAAATTTTTCAAATAAGCAACCCTCCTCTAAACATATTTTCGGCAGCAAACTTTCCTAACCCACTTCAGTTTCATACCCATATTGCAATATTCAGTTTATCTTATCAATTACATTCAATTGAAATTTTCAAACATGTTGCAACCTCCACAAAAATATTTTCGGCTGTAAGCCTGCAATATTTACTTTATCTTATCAATTTACTTTAACTGCAATTTTCAAACAGGTGGCAACTCTCTATTTTTTTCTGCCTATATTTTAAGTTAGACCTCCGGCAATACATCGGTGAAAACTGTCATTTCGATTTCATGCATTAGTTTTCGAGTGATGCGCGTACAAACATACAGACAGACAGACAAAAATTCTAAAAATTTTAGATTTGGCTTCTATTGCTCCAATAAAGATCCCCCATATTAATTTTTATTTAATAGCTATAGTGTACAGACATCGGCCTGTTACAATTTTGTTATAGTATGTAAGATAACGAAACGTCAAGGTATTCATATTTTTGGCGGTGTATGTATGTACATATGTTTACGTGCCACAAGTGTGTCAATCGTCGCCTTTCTTAAGTTGACTCTGACTAGCCGCAGCTCAAAATACCAACGACTACCGCATACGATAATTAGATTTGCCAAAACGCCCTAATTCATCATATCTACATATGTATGTATATGTATGTACACTGATCCGCTAACAACACCCGCAACTCGTTCTTGTAAACCACCTTCGCGTAACTTGTACTCTGCCTCTAATTTGTCGTATTTATGGGCGACAAATCAGACATTCAACATGTTGATGATGTCTTCTTTAACAATCGCGCGATCACGCATGCAATTGCGCTAGTGTTTGTGTTGTTTGATTGCATGCGTGTGATCATCGTCGTCATCCTTTCAATTTTAAGCACGCTGCTTAAAGTGAAATAATTCAGAAAAAAAAAAATTATTATTACAAACGTAAACATAAACATTCGTTGCTGTGATGGCAATTTATGTTGAGCATTGCAAAACATTTTTAAAAAATGATTTATGTATTTAATTGTAGCGCAGCAGAAAGTGAATTTTCAAAAGGGCCGAGATGCGTTTTGTTGCCTTGCTTGCGCGAAAGTGTGCTTTTTGGCTGCGTCTTCGTAGCGTAGTAACATTCTTTTGCATCTGGTGGGAGTGTAAATTAATTCATCAACAGAATTTATGAAAGATCGGCAAATTCTTTTAGTTTTCATAGTAAGTAGTAGAGGAATTTGTTTAATCGCTCGTGATGTTGCAAAAAAACTAAGCAATAAGCCACGCATTTTTTTTCATATAGACAACTTTTGCCATCAACCTGATCGAACAAACTCACTGGGAGTATCAATTTATCAATTCAATTTTGTATAAACTTTTCCCTCTTCGAATATAGGACAGAACTTATTATCATAAATAAACAACCTTAACACTTAATTCGTTCCTTTCAATAATGCATACCTTACCTGTTTCACCTAACAACTTTTTGTGTGATAAACGGTGTTCATATGAGGCGATTTTACAGGCATCTATTAGTTGAAAGCAACAATCGCCTGTTGTGAACGGCCTTTTACCTAGTTGCTTCCAATAAAGTTGGGAGGCAACCAGTAATCGTCTCTAAAATTGCCTGAAAAATCTCCTCATGTAAACACGGTATTAGGCACCAACACAGATCTTTGCTTTTAACCCACGTCGTCAATTCTTAAATCTCATTTCTGAACTTAGCTATCCATATGGTGACCACCCGTCCTTTATTTTAAAGAACAGCCAGAGCGCTTTTAAAATGCTTACTGTTCTTTTAAATGCTTACTGAATAAAGGTCGCCATTTGAACTCCGGATTTTTTCGAAGGCTACTTTCCAAGTAGAGAATACCAATAACAACATTATAAAATCACAAAATTTCCGCAGGTATTAGGTTTATTTTTATGCGGATTTTTTTCATTGCGGTTTTTTAAACCATTTTTTCGCTGTAGCGATTTTGCTTTTTTGAGCGTTTTTATTACTTTTTTTCAGTGTGTAAGAGGGCATTTCCACCAAGCCTTAAATGCAGTTTATGCCCATTGGAAAAACATATTAAGTACAAGCAAACGAAAGTGTGAAAGCAAAAAGTAAGAAATAAATATTGCCAATTGCCTTATGTTAAAATAATTGCTACTTTTCTGGGCTCTTAACGGCAGTTAAGCTTTTGGTGGAAATAGGCTATTAGAGACAGTGCTTCTGATAAATAATTTGTCTTTGTATTCTTATATAGTTCATATATTTATTGTGGTATTTTTTTTTTATTTTTGGTTAAAATACAGACAAAATTTTATTTATTTCATTAGTGTTCAGTTTTACATGGAATAATAGTGTTAAGGTGAAGAAATATATTTTTTTCGCTTAATATTGCCTCACTGGATTTTTGTATGCGGTTTTTTTTAGAATTTTTTACATGGAGTAACTGAATTTATGCGGTTTTTGAAAATGCTGGAACGTATCTCCTGTTTTTGTATGAAAGTAAAGAACTTTTTTATGCGGCTTTCTGAGGACCGCATAAAAAAGACCTAAGTGTGTTTAAATTAAAACTACGCTGCGAAAATATGAATACAAGAGAGTACGCGTAAGGGTTGGAATAGCGTTCCATACAGGAATAGCGCTCCGATCATTATATCGATCCCTTTGCGCAAAATGGTCGTGTGTTACATTTTTTTACGAAATTACCCATAAGGCATCACCTGTTCAAAAATTAGGGCATAAATCCCAATAGTTACCCCAAAAATTGACTAAAATTTTTACCAATACAGGGTGCTCAATGGCCTTGAAATGCGCTACTGCATCGCTCTGGCTGGGTAAAAAGCTACTGTTGCCATGACAACTGAAGATTTTGATATTTTTTTAGATAATTAAAATTTGAAATGTTTTTAAGCTGCTTAACCAATTGTTCGATTAATATATGTATGTACACAATATTTCTAGAGTAAAATATGAGCACCCTCTAAATTTATACTTAGAAACATAAAATTTAATACCAGCACTTCTTTGGCATTAGGAAACATTTTGGATGGTGCCGCAAACCCTATCTCGGAATTTTTTTTTTTTACCACTCTTATATGTACGTGCTACAAAAAAAAGTTGCGTTTAGTTATATTTCTCAATTATCTCATCAAATCTAAACTTTAGTATTGGTGGTGCTAGCCAAAGCCTTGAAAAATAAAAAAAATACACTTTCCTGTAAAATTTGGTTTTTGTAACACGCGATAATTTAGCGCAAATAATTTTGACAAAACTTTTCCCCCAGTAAGCAGGTTTGGAGAGGAAACTTTTAACTTAAAACATCTTTTAGAAAATTCCTTGAAATGAACATACGTATTGTTAACACAATTTGTTAAAAACTCATTCATATTTGGCTCGGGTTTTGTTTCTCATGCGACGGCGAGTCTCCCCTGAATCGCTTTTTTCCATATTTTTGGCCTATGTGCGTTTTTATTTGAAACCTAAATATTTCGGTATCGAGTATCGAAAGTAAATGATACTTTTTAAATCGGTACCAAGTATCGATCAATCCTTAAAAGTATCGACTCAGCACATCACTATAAACTATTCAAAGCTGGGCCCTTACTCTGTAGTTCGAATCGAAAAGAATTTCTATTCGAACGCCTAACGCTTTTATAGTACCAATCGTTCGAATTAGAACAAATTTACTATCGATTCGAACTACAGAGTAAGGGCCCTGGAAATATGTACGCATCAATTAAGTACGCTGAATATTACCAAAGTAATGCATGTCTGACAACTGTGGTTTAAGTGAGTTCTGCCAAATCTATAAGAGTAGTGATGCCACCAATTACGTCAACTACGTCATATACGACCCTAATCGTCCCATTTGTATTAAATGACACAAACGCATCAGGACTGTAAAAAATTTCAATAAAATTGGACTGCAATCGAAAATTGTACTTTATATATTTTGCAGCCTGTTCCTTTTGCAATCAAAAATGATTCCTTTTGTTTTGATTGTAAAAATTACAATTTACAATCATGTAGAAGATTTTGATTGCAATCAATTTCTTTTGCATTATTTTGCTACAAATGCAACAAATTGTGAATCAATTGTTTTACTTAAAAAAATGCTAGCATCAAATTGATTGCAATCAAAAATGCTTACGATCAAATTGATTGCAATTAATTTCTTGTAAATTGTAATTTTTACAATCAGAATAAAAACAGTCAATTTCAATTGCAATCGAATCGGTGGCACGATCATTGATTGTTAAACAAAATAATTAAAATTTTTACAGCCCTGAGAAGCATGGTTGATAACAGAATCAGATAAGTCGGCTAATGGAGTTCACCAAAGAATAGTGCTATAGAATTGTAATATGTACTATGTATATACGTTTTAGAACATTCAAAACATCGCATTGATGGCTCATCTGACGTACAGTCCAGATTTGGCATCCAATTATCAAGAACAAATTGTGACGTCAAAATTTTTCGGTGTCTAAAGAAGCAGTTGATGCATTCAAATCACATATTTAGGATGGAATGCTTCTAGTATCTACTTATAAACAACACAAATGTACACTTATGACAAAACGTGCTGAGTATGTTTACGATTAAAATTGTCAACTATACGATGCCAATGTCAAATTTAACTTTTTAACATAAGTGTTGGCGTCTCTAAACACTTAAGCAATCCTCGTATGTCTAAAGTAAACAAAATACCAATTAAAGAAAAATTGTGCGTGTTTTTGTTTGAAACAAACACGATATTGTTTTTGTCAGTGTGGCGCTGACGAAAGATAATAGTAAAATATACTTTGCAGATTGATGGATACAGTTTCTTCGACGAGGTAAATGGAGAGGACAGGCATAAAAATCCTTTTGAGTGGCAAATCATATCTCAACACCAATTCTATGTTATAACCTAAAACAACAAAGTATTCACCTTCGATCTGCTTCATCGGACTCAGTCCACCGGTATAGGAGGTAGCCCAATAATCCGTTGTATAACAGCCATAGTCCGCAATGTTTGTACTCAAACCACCGTTATCCATGAAAGACATTGTGGAGACCATGGCGCTGGCGCATTCATTGGGTCCCATGAAATTTGTAACCGGTCGACGGTAAATGGTCTGATGCATCACAAAGCTGGAGAATTTGTGATATAAACCACAAACAACTGGTTTACACTAAATGCAATTATCAAAGGGAAGAACCTCAACTTCGTTTCACACGAACCTCAACTTCGTTTCACACTTTTAACTAATCAATTCTAGTGCAATACATTTATCCAATATTTGAGAAACTTTAATGAGATTTTTTATTTGGGATTGTTTGAATAAAAAAAAATCACACTTAGTTTTTCGCGCACTTGTCAAATTATAACAAAATTTCGATTACTCTTCGCAAGTCAGGGGTGCGAATGAGCCATTTGAAGCGAAATTAAGAGTAAATCATTTAGCACAGATAGCACAATAAAAATGTCTAAAGCAAGACCGCCGTTTTCACTTCGCTTTTTTTTCNGAAATTTGTAACCGGTCGACGGTAAATGGTCTGATGCATCACAAAGCTGGTGGTTTTGTGATATAAACCACAAACAACTGGTTTACACTAAATGCAATTATCAAAGGGAAGAACTTCAACTTCGTTTCACACTTTTAACCAATCAATTGTAGTGCAATACATTTATCCAATATTCGAAAAACTTTAATGAGATTTTTTATTTGGGACTGTTTGAATAAAAAAAAACTCGCACTTAGTTTTTCGCGCACTTGTCAAATTATAACAAAATCTCGATTACTCTTTGCAAGTCAGGGGTGTGAATGAGGCATTTGAAGCGAAATTAAGAGTAAATCATTTAGCACAGATAGCACAATAAAAATGTCTAAAACAAGACCGCCGTTTTCACTTCGCTATTTTTTTTTATAATACATTTGGTGTAGTATTGGTTGTATGCGAGTTGTCAGAAGGTGTTGAAAAGTTTCGCGAGCTCAAAACATACATAAACTTGGCTATTTGCTCGGCGCGGCTAAATTGATTAAACATTAGGTGAACTTGCAACAGATTATTCTTTGTTGTTTGATATGCATAGTATTTATACGTATATGTGTGTACATATATTTGATCACTTCGCGATCTGCAATAGATCTCAACACTCGCGCAATAAATTTTTATAGACGAGAGCATCGAATGCNAAATTGATTAAACATTAGGTGAACTTGCAACAGATTATTCTTTGTTGTTTTCTTTTAAATTAAAGAAAAATCCATCACGTTTTTTTTCTGATATGCATAGTATGTATATTTATGTATATGTGTGTACATATATTTGATCACTTCGCGATCTGCAATAGATCTCAACACTCGCGCAATAAATTTTTATTGGCGATAACATCGAATGTGATCAATCAAATAACACTTCTCTGGCATACTATTGTTGGACTGATGCATGAACTTGTATGTACAAACATGCATACACATGTTCGTACACATAATTAGTACATATCTAACATATCAATCACACTCGATCACGCGACCACTGTTGAAGTGTTGATGATTGCAGTGGCGCTACCAACTTGCGAATTGTTTCTTGACACTCTGGTTTTTAGCGCGTTCACCTCTTTCGCGCTGCAATTAAACTTTCAACTAGTCACACACCCCGTTAAGCGCGAAATGATGGAATCGCTTCGATGGCGCTTCACCAATGTTGTGTCCGTCGTTTGACACCTTGTCGACGATTTGAATAACCAAACAGAAAAACATCCGAAAACACCTACGATTAGCTTGCGGCGCGAAATAACTAAATATGTCTACCAGTGCCGGATGTTTTGTATCGAGTATCCGGAAGTCCCGAATTCACTTTCCGCGTTCCCAATGTGTGCTGCGTAACGGTTTTTAGAGGAATAACGGCACTTTTG